CACAATTGTGTTTCTTTTGGAACAGAGAGTTAAACACTGTGATGTGTTCAAATGGCATGATCCTGAAATGTGTGCTAGATCAAAGAATATTATCCCTGGATTGATAAGAAGAATAGACCGTTTGAATGATGAATTGGCTAACTATAAGGAAAAAAGAGATATAAGGGCAAATGAAGAAGATATGATGGCAAATGAAGAAGCTATGATGGCAAAGCAAGAAGATATAATGGCAAAGGAAAAGAAGTCCTATTAAAGAAAAATAAAGAAAATGGATAATTTAATTGTGATGTATAACAATAGAATGAAGATCTTGAAAGTTCTTTTGATTGTCTTAGGTTGTTTAATTGTCATTGTAATGATGAAAATTAGTGGTTAGAATTTTCAGTGATTAATATTAGTGGTTAAGATGTAGTTATTTGTGATAACATTGTTGTTTTTCTTGTCCAATATAATGCAAGTTTGTATCTCAATTATGTTTGCATTTTTGGTACATGTTAACAGATTGACAAAATAAATGCAAGCATCGCTTACAAAAAATAAAATAAAACATAGAGTACATTATTGATTCCAAAAACATCATTTAGATTCCAAAAGCATCATTCAAAGTACAAACATATGATTTGTTTGCAAACATGATTCAAATTACAAACTTGTTTTCAAATGACATCTCACATTAGAGTACATCAAACTAAACTGCAAGTTCACAAAAACACTACATAATTCAAAGTACTTCATAGAACAAATTACATATTCCTAAAAACACAAGATTGTCTTCAAAATAAAAATGCCATCTAAGACTAAGATGCAAGATTGGAACCACCAACAGACTTAGATGCAGAACCACCAACAGCCTTAGATGCAGAACCACCAACAAACTTGGACTTGGATGAAGAATCACCAACAGACTTGGACTTGGACTTGGAATGTGAGGCACCAGCAGACTTGGAATGTGAGACACTTGCTTTCAGATTGTTCAGAGTGATAAAATTGAGTCCCCCTTTGACAATAACAGGAGTGTTAACTGTTGGAGATGATTTGCTAGCTTGAAAAGCAATTGTATTTGTCCTTCCTTTAACATTCACATTCTTTTGAGAAGACCTTTTAACCTGTAATTATCCCAAATAAGTTTATTAAATACTAATTCATAAAAGACTATAAATATATTTTAACCATACTGAAAAATAAAAAAAATAATTGAAACCTGTAATTTTGTTTTTCTCTGTGGTGGTACACTTGAAACAGAAGCTTGAGTGGCCAAGTATTCTTGAGGAATTTCAAATACAGACTCATTTTGTTGGCCAACTGGATCTCCAGTTCCACTTTGGCTTGCTTGCACCTGCTCAACTGCAGAAAATTTTCTTTTCTTGCATGTTTTTGAGTTATGGTTTGTGCCCCCACATGTCTTACATTTATTGTTTCTTTTAATTCCTCTCAATCTATGTGGATTTGCACCTGGGGCAGGGGGTTCATCAGGTTCTCTCCTCCTTAGCCTTTGAGGCCTGCCAGCTTTTTCAATGTAGTTTGGAGGCAGTGGAGCTTCTAATGAACTTTTGGGCCACAATTCAGGTCCATTGAAGCCTAAGATTGGAGGCTCATAAACCTGTAAATATGTCTCAACCTTGTAACAATTATGTACATATGATTCAGGCTCCTCATTTCTACACCATATTGCTGAACATGCATGTTTACAAGGTATGCCACTTAAATCCCATTTTTTGCAGCTACACTTTCTCTCCAACAAGTCAACAGTGTGTTGGTCAAATGGACCAATAATCTGAAAATGATAATCATCACATTTCATAGGTATACACTCCCCAGCCTCTTCCATAATCTTCATCCACTACAACACAAATCGTTATCCATAGCGTTTGAAAAACGCTATCGTAGGATTCTATATATAGCGTTTTTACAAACGCTATGTCTGCCCGAGCTATAATAGGCCTTGGTTTTGTTATAGCGTTTTTAAAACGCTATAATAATTGTAATTTAGATAGCGTTTTGTCTATGCTATGGTATTCGTTTGTATGACAACAATAAAATGCAATTGTATGTCTATGATAGCATTTTTTAATGCTATCAGTAATTTGCTATTGTACTTTTGAAACGCTATCAAATTATTAATGACAACGTTTCTAAAATGCTATTGTCTTAGAATTGATAACAAAATGGTATTGTAGCAATTTTCATCACTACTATTAATTATTATTTATGTTGATCATGCTAATATTTAAAGCGTTATCCCTGAAAAATACAAAATAAGTACAAAAAAGGTAGATTACAGAATAAATACTTTTCATTAATATTTGAATCCAATTCATGTAACATTACAAATACTAGCTATCTTCTAGAACTATTCAAAGTAGATTCTCAAAACAAAAGTATGGAGTACAATAAAATGTTTGTGAGTAGATGAGAGCATTGCATCTCAAATTCATATATGTAGGTAGCTCTTCACCATTCTTGACTTTGACCTGTTAAAATTAAAAGAAAATTAAAAATAAGTTACTTTAGTAAACAAAGAAGAGTGACTGGCTATAAAATGTCGTATAGCCTACGTTCATGATCAATTTCATACCAGTCATTTGGATGGAGACTCGTCAGCCTCAATATTGCATCAGACATCTAATAGTTGTTCATTTGTACCAAAATTTATGTACAACAAGAAAATAAGTGATAATTCATAGAAGAACTTTTATGGATATTACCTACTACATGAATCACCGAAAGTACCGAATCCTCTGTTAATATGTTCCATCTAATACCTGATTACATAAAAAAAATATGTTATTTGTATGTTCTATCTGTAAAGAAAGAAAAAAAACAAGTAGCAGAAAGAGAGTTTATTCAACACATGAAAAAAATGGAATGAACTATACTCATGTCTAACATCTCTGTTATCTAGTTTTATGAAAAAGAATTTGTATAAGGCAATTTTTTTTAGGCAGTTATGCAAAAATTTAAAGAAAACACAATATCGTGAATGAAATACATGGTGGAAAAAAACAACTGAGAACAAGAAAACTATATGCATTCACAAGTTGTTAAGAAAGATATATCAAAACATAGTATATGTGCTTCGTGATGAAATCCATTATGTATAGCCAAGCATAGGACTCGGTCTACTAGTCTACAAATGAGAACCTGCAAAAACGTATGTATACATTAATTGGTTAACTACAATATAGAAATTGGCAGATTTTTTGTCATAATTGATAATGTAACCACTACAAGAAAAAATCATCAATGTAAGAAATCAGTTAAATACCTCATGATGCTCTGTCCTCAATAAGAACCACCCCATCACCCTAAACATCTATTTCAAGCCAATAATTTCAACTGGGCACCACTTGACTAATGTAGGAAGGTGTTTCCAATGATTTTGAAAAATGTGTCACCTATAACTATATAACAAACCTTGAACGAATCCTACGAAATTCGATATGCATAAAGGAAAACTTCATCAATCGCGATCATATTGACAACTTACAACTTAATGAGATTCAATCCTCAAATAGAGTTTGAAGATGGATACTAAACCAAGAAGTTAATGATATTCTCATATATTAAATCATGTAAACAAAGAATATTTTTTTCTATTTATTTTACCATAATAATGCACATTAGATGAGAAGTTGCAGTTTCAAGTGAAGATCAAGAGATTGAATCCGTTGAAAGTTTTACAATTCCAGTATACTAACCCCACTCTCACTCAAAGAATCAAATCTTATTAAATAGCTAAAGAACTGAATCGTATATACTAAAGTTACATACAATAATCAATAATAGCTAATAATTGAGCATTGTAATTATAAATTGATAAACGAATTTGGAGCATTGTAATTTGAAAAACATATAAACAACCAATACCATTCAACAAAAGATTGGGTAAATCCATGGTTCGCCAGAACGGCATCGGAACGGCCGTTCCGGAACGGGAACGGTGCCCTCCGTTCCGGAATCCGTAACCAGAACGGTGTTTGCACCGTGACTCGTCGGAACGCCGAGAAATCGGTGGGATGGGAGAGACGGAGCCACGGAACGGCCCCGACGCGGCCGGAACGGGAAAAAAGATTTTGAAAAAAAAAAAAACTAATTTGACTAAAAAAATAAGGAAAAAAAAACATAAAAAAATAAATAAATAAGTAATATGATGATGGTGGCCACGTTAGATAATGAAGTCTAGGAAGATTCCCCAGAATCTCACAGATCTTTGGCCTCACTTTTCAATTATATCCTACACAATTCCAGTTCGGTATTCTACTTGGTATTAATATTGCTTGTATTTTCATAATATTCGTTGTAATATTTATTTTTTACATTGTAATAATATTTTGCATATTATTGAATTGTAATATTATTATTAAAAACATATTTGAAATATATTGTATTTTTATAACAATTTAATTAAAATGTGTCCGTTCCGGCCGCGACGCAGCCGCGACGTTGCAACGGAACTGGAACGGCAGTGTCCGCGACAATGCACTGTTCCGTTCCGACGAACCATGGGTAAATCAGTAGCGAATAATTGAGTAAATTTAGGGCTTTTTGCAAATAAACTAGAATCCAAAAGAATCTCGAAATTGACAATTATACATACATAAATATGTCTATGGCAGATCGATTGCGAAGACTGAAGAGAGATGACAATCTTTAAGCATTGATTCGAGCCTTCGTGGCACCAACAATAGATAGATTTCGCTTGCGCAAGACATACCTGCTATAGTCCGGAATTAACAGAGAGGTCGAGGAATAGGAACACCAGCCGATGGAAATCTAGGAGAGACGGCAGTCTTGAAATTGAAGAAGGGTTCTGCTTGGACATAGAGTCGAAAATATTGAGAGGCGCACGAGTCAGAAAAGATCTTTCTGCCAAAAAAATTGTTCTCTTCTAGCGTCTTTTAAAGGAGAAAATTAGTGTGGGATGTTATAGAGTTTTATTTATTTATTATTAGTTTATAAAATTAAAAAAACTATCTACTATAGCACTTGCGTTAAAAACGCTATAAAGATGTGCTATCAAAAGCCACTTTTCTTGTAGTGATCAAGATCTTTTTTATCTTTGGACACAAGAGACCTTCCCATTTTGCAGCTTTTTCCTTGTTAGATTGCATCCTAGTCATTAACAGATTTCTAATAGTTTCAAGCAAAGAAATTATTGGTTTTTCTCTTGCTTCAAGAATGAAACTATTGAAATATTCACACATATTGTTCAGTAGGATGTCACACTTAGGATGTGGACTGAAATGGGATCTAGTCCAGTTTTGAGGAGGCTTTTTCACTAACCATTGATAGGCATCTTCATCAATGTCTCTCAACTCTTGCATTTTTCTATTAAATTCTTCAACCCTGGTTGCTTTAGCTGCCCCCCATAATGCTGTCTTGATTGCCAACCCAGTGAATCCATCCCTCTTCATATTGCTATGTAAATGTCTCACACAAAATCTATTTTCAGCATTGGGAAACAAAGTTTCAAAAGCTGGAATTAACCCTTTTTGCTTGTCAGACATAAAAGTCCAATTATGTTCATTTTCAAATCCAATATCTGCATTCAACAAGTTCAAAAACCAGATCCAACTGTCCTTTGTTTCAGATTCAACTATTGCATATGCAATTGGGAAGATGTTGTTGTTTGGATCTAACCCAACTGCAGTTAATAGTTGACCTCCATGCCCACCCTTCAAGAAACAACCATCTACCCCAATTATAGGCCTACAACCATTTTTAAACCCTACCTTGCATGCATTGAAACACATGTACAACCTATGGAATCTTCTCTCCTCAGTCAGCTTCATGATAACTGTAGAACCTGGATTAGTTCTTTCAATTTCTAGACAGTAATCATAAATTTTTGAAAATTGTTCCTCCAAAGTTCCCTGGATTATCTTAATTGCCTTTTTTCTTGCTCTGTAAGCCTGTGATCTGGTTATATTGGCCTTCAAAGTTGTACAAATTTCACTTCTGAATTCATTTGTACCCAACTTTGGATTGTCTTTCAATTTTTTCATAAATGTTTTGCCAATCCAACCAGACTTAAGGCTTGTATTGTTATAATTCCAGGAACATTTAGTGTGTATTGGGTTATAGGTTTTCACTTGCCAAGAGTGGTCATTTTGCATTTTGGAGACATGAATGTACCATCCACAACCCTCTTTTTTACACACAGCCCTGAGTCTAATGGCATCATTTTTTGGAAATTTCACCATCATACCCCTCCTAAAACAATGAGACTCAATAGCAAATTTTGCCTCTTTTTTGGAACTGAAAATCAAGCCTAGCATGATGTCTGGATTCTTATTCTCAGTTTTAGGATTAAATTTGGGGAACTTCATTCTACCCTTACCCTCATCCTCATCACTACCATTTGAGCTGTCAAAATCATCATCACTAACTACACAATCTTCATCACCTTCTTCATTTTGCAGCCTATTATACATTTCCTCACTAATGAAATCATCATCTGCAACAGACTTACCCTTACCCAACCCCCCAAACTCAGCCTCAGGATCTACAAATTGCTCAAACAATTTATCATCATCTTCCATGTCATAATCACTTTGATAAAACACATCATCATCCTCACTAAATTCATCAGATTCACTATTCTCTCCCTCCAACCCTACATCATCAATTATAACAGCCTCATTGACTAACCTACCCCCAGTTTCACCCTCCACATCCACTCCCAGATTGAGATATTCAATAAATATCTCAACTTCCCAATTTTTTGGAATATGCCCTCTTATATTAAACACATCACTATCAGTCTCAATACACTTGCAGTGTTTATCAAAACTTTTTCCATGCTTAAGCCAAAACCTAAGACTCCATTTTTCAGTGTACCCCAGCTCCTCAGCAAAACCCCAAAAGTCAAACATCCCTATTTGATCTATATCGACAAAATCAAACCATTCAAGACTTCCTCCTATGTACTCTCTTTTTGGAGAGTGCTTCATAATTCCACCATGTCTCATTTTAATGGTGAAACATGTTAATTCCCCAACACAAGCTTTATTTAAAATAATTAAAAAAAAAAAAAAAAAAAAACTCCAATCAGTAATCAGCTAAGGCAAACAATTTCGCTCAAACAAAAGTAAATTTAAACAAAAGAAACTTACCGTAATTCGGAGTACATTCTAGCATCAGTGAAGCTCTTCTCGACATTTTTGTTGTCCTTAGATGAAGAACCCTAGTATTTGTCGCAATTCCGTAGCTCCACTCCAGAAATTGTAATCTACTCCAAAAATCGTGATCAGTGATAATATTGGTGATTGAACACTTTTTTACCTCAACAATCTAGGGATTTACAGGTGAGATGTGGAAGAAATTAGGGATTTAGAAAAGGGGGCATTTGGATTTCAAGATAGAATTAGGGCAGATTGTGTTTACCTGTAACGCGTGATTAAACGTTTTGAGGTGTTGAGGTGCTTTTGTGTGTCACGTGCGGCGCACGTGCGATTTTCCGTCCAAACTAACTGGACAAATGGACGGAGGGACAGAAACAGCATAAAAGTGACATGTTTAGGGACGAAAATTGTAACTTCATCTTGTTTAGGGACAAAAATCGTATAAGTGGTAATGTATAGGGACGAAAAGTGTAATTATCCCGTTACAAAAACATTAATTGATTTTTTATAATAATATAATATAGTAACTTCTAGTACTAATAAATAGGGACATTTCAGATGGTTGGAGTTGAATGGATTTATGTTAAATTTCAAATTAAAAATTTAATTAATCACAATAGATAACTTTATTTAGGGATTTTTGTCAATTAGCCCAAAAAGAAAAGGTTAAAAAATCAAACATGTATTTGGTTAAGATTGAGGATATCTTTAATTATTTAATCCTTTCCTTCAAAATATAAATGGAAAAGGGTAAAAAATATTTATTATAAACAACAAATTACAATCATCACTCCTAAAATGCTAGAACCAGGATTTGTGGCAACGCGGTGCCAAAAAGTAGTTTTCTTGACCTTTTCTCCTTCCTTCGCTCAACAACAATATATCGTACTTGTTTACGCAAATTATAACCCTAATTTTGCAATGTGAATGAAACACAAATACTTGTAAATGTCTATAAATTCATATTTGCCCCATTCTCATTTGTCACAAGTTCACAACCTTTTGTTTTCCATCGTAATAATCTCTCCAAATCCCACCTTTGTTCTTTTTCTTTTTCTTTTTCTTTATCTCTCTTAATTGCTGTTAAAATCCATAATCACATCAAGATTTGACATTGTTGATGGTGGAAATCTCGAGCCAACAATTTATGGTCGTCCCTTCTTCTTTAAGAAGAGGGATTTCGATTCGCGGCGTCTTCGTTTTCTGCTTCGGAACCTGCATGGAGGGCTGGTACTACCGCTGTCTCGGCCTCGACCCTTGAATTTCATCGTCGTATCGTATTCATCTTTCTTGATCCACTTTTTTAATTTTTATCCCCAAAGAAATCTCGAAAATAAAATCAAGGAAAAAATTAAAAAGATGTTTATTCGCAAGCAGAAGAAGAATTTGCCCTCCAAGGGCAAACGATTTTTGATTAGCATTACGGTGCTCGGAAGCGCGGGCCCCATTCGGTTCGTGGTGAACGAGGATGACCTTGTTGGTGCAGTTATGGACACCGCTATGAAATCGTACGCGCGTCAAGGCAGACTCCCCGTTCTTGGATCCGATCTCAACGCCTTTATGCTCTACAGCCCATTTGCCGGAACTCAAGGTCTTTTTTTTTTTTTTTTTTCTTGTAATATTTGTGGTGTTCTCTTTTATGATTATGATACATGTTCTTGATTTTGATTTTTTTTGTTTGTTTTTTACGAAGGGTTTAATTAGGGCAAAACTTGTTTTTAGGATTTGATTGATTTGATACAATACATTAATTTGATTTGATCAAGAATTATATTAATGACTATAATGAGTACTAATTTGAATTTGTGTTTATTACAGCTTTGCTTCCATGTGAGAAAATTGGATCGGCTGGAATTCGAGATTTCATCTTGTGCAAGAAGCCCCAAATCGAGATGGCGATCACGGACGACAACAACAAGGCATCTCCAAAGGGATCCGGAAGTTTGAGGGCGTTTTTCAATAAATCTCTCCATGTTAAGATATCGTTTCATTGAATTGAGATTCAACTCATCGGCGAAAACATGTTGAAGATGTTTTCTTTGTCTTCGTTCTTCTTCATTTGGATGTTTATTCAATTGCACTATTATATATATCTAAGGTGTTTCGAAACTCCCAATTTTTTATTCTATGTAACCTTCGATCCAATACATATAAGAATCTATCTCGATTACCATCACTAACAGGCATATTGGCTTCTGGTGCTGCACTTTTAGGGCTTGTTTGCATAAAGTAGCACTGAAACAAGTGAATATATATATAAACTTTAACTAAAATAGTATAAATAAAATTAAATTATTTACAATTGGCTCTTTCAAGTTTTTATTAATTTGAAGAAACTATCTTCAAAATAATATGTAGATAAAGAGAAACATTCTTCTAAACCCCAATCCACCAATGCTCCTTTATGATTAAACAATCCAAAGATATATATGATGAAGAGAATACAAATCAAAAGACTCATTCAGTCCTTTCAAATGCTTTAGCAAGATCCACTTTTAAGACCATAAAACTTCTCTTATCTTTCGTTTTGTGGAGATAATCCATTATTCCATGGAAAATATTATTATTTTCATTAAAATTTCTACCAATCACAAAGGCTATTTGGAAATGAGAAACGATCTGGGGATGAAGGTTTTAATTTATATATAATAGTGTTTGAAATTAATTTGTAAGTAACGTTGCACCAATCCAATGGCCTAAATTTCTCAAACTCTAGTGGGTTGGGAATTTTGGGGAGAAAGCAATAAAATTTTTGGTTTTCTGAAAAAAAAAGTCGAATTCGAAAATAAAAATTGTATCGAAAATGCATAAAACTACGTATCCAAATTCCGTTCCATAAAATAATCGAAAAAATTGAAATGTAGAACTTCCGGAGTGAAAATCAACTATGCGAGTGTTATTTGCGAATGTTTAAAAAATAGGCATTTTAGTTTACCCTTTTGCCTTTTTTTTTATCTTTATTTTTTTTTCAAAAAAAAAAAGAAAAAAAAAAAAAGAAAAGTACACTGAATTTCAATGAAACTAGAAAAAGCGATTTTAGTTGTTGAAAGTAGCGCTTTTAAAAAAAATTGAATCCTGCCCAAAACAATTGTAATGGGTTCTTTCTTATCGGTTTGCTCATATTATCACAGAACAAAAGAAATTTGAGACAATAAAATATTTGCACTTTCTCAATGGTATGTACTTCTTCCCCATCGAATTATCCCTTCTTTTATTACAAAAATAAAAAAAAAAAAAAATAAAAGCTTATCTTATCTTCAGTTATGGTCTCTGATTATCTCCCCTAATTATCTCTTGAAATTTCAGTTATACCTTTCAATTTTATTCTTCTTACATGTATTGGCTATGGTGGAAGTTGGGGTTATCTCTTTTTGTTGAAAGGGTAAGCTGTATTCGCCAATTAAACTAAGATAAGAAATAAGTCAAGGGTTGCTCTCAATTTTGTTTCACTTTTGCATTAACTGATTAGGGAATTTTTTTCAAATCAGTTGGAGTATGCAATGCAGGATAGTAAGTTTAGGTCAAGATGTGAAGGATTACGTCGAATTTTAAACTTTTAAGGCCTCGTTTGGTTGGGAGATTAGTCATAATAAATAAATGGATATTAGTTAGTGTTTGGTATCCCAATAACTTGTCGGGTTGATCCGCAGACATTATATTATTATGGCTTATTTTGCTTCTAGGCACGTTTTTTATTGGATCTTCCAAGGTCCAATTCATTAGATTATTTAATCTTTTCTTGGTTAATCTTATCTTGGCATCCAAACGAGGCCTAAGGATATGTAAGAGAGATGGGCTAAAACATAGAAGTCTATCCACTACTTGAATCCAATGCAAAACTGTTATCATATATTGAGTTAAGTAGTTTTGTAGATGCCAAGCATTTGCGGTACTTGAATCGACATGAATTCTTGGTCTTGTTCGGTGTAACTATGTAACCGTTGTGTCAGTCGAGTAATTAGCAATTTAGCACTGAATCGATTCCTGTAAACAGTTCTTGATCGATGTATTCGTTTTTTTTTTTTTTTAATGAAATAGCCTATAATTGTGGATTTTGTTTTACCGAATGCGAATGTTTTAATAATTGACACGTAATGTTTTTGTGGGTGTTGTTAGGTGATCGGAGAACACTTTGGAGACTCTTCTTACACCTCATGAAAAGATTGGCTTCTCCGAACCTCGGATAACAAATATCCTTCATGCGGACACTGCCTTTTGTTACATAGATCAAACGGAGCTTTTTTACGATATGTTGTCCTTCACAAAAACATTCACCACTGTCCCCTCTCGAATTCCACGCGCTTTCCCACACCCCCATGCTCCCTTGCTCGTAGCGACGAGGAGCAGTATCGAAAATGACAACAATACCCCCAACTTGGACGGCTTCGATGCGATGCCACCTGTCCAACAACCGCCGCCCATAACCCCACCAGGTTCAGTGGAAATACGGTTCAAAAGAGGTTCGAGGCGAAGAAAGCAAGAAGGCGACGGCGATACGAGTAGAATCGGGTCTAAGAAGGCTCCGGTTACAAAGGATTGGGAGTCGATGACTCTCAACGAGAAGCTCTTGGAGCTGTATGTGGGTGAAAAGGGCGCCCTGTTTTGGCTGAACAAGTTTGCGTATGCTTCGATATTTATTGTTATCGGGGGTTGGATTGTGTTTCGATTTGTTGGTCCCGCACTGAATTTATACCAGCTGGATACTCCTCCGTTGGCTCCAACTGCAATGTTCAAGGAATAAATATTAGCCAAACGTATCTCAAATGTTAATTCGACAGTCGAAATTTTTGTATCGTGGAACTACGCTCGAGTTGCTATTATGTATTATGTGTTAAGTAAGTTTTATCTATCTTATACTGCTGCATTCTTTGGTTGTAATGATACAGAGTAAATAACATGGTGTTAATTTAATCAACATACAATGCTCAATAATTCTCTAGTAATTATTGCACAACAATTGCACCTGTGTAATTTTTCCAGTCCTATACAATGATTTTTTTTTATATGCACTACAAAGTAATACAAATTCTAAATCAGTGAAATTTAGGAGGAATCAATAAAAGGGAGGGGCAAGTTAGTCTGTAAGAGTGGACCATAAAAAAGGAATTAGGACAATTACATACTTTGGTTCAATAAAAGTGTTTCGACTAAATATTTCAATTTATACAAGTCATTTAACTAATTTAGCATATATGTTGTGAGTTGTGACTATTTCACTCTTAATTTCATTACCATAATTATTTGTATACATAAGTTAGGGGTTGAACATGGATCGGTTAGGGTAATTACGGTCAATTACCTACCCGACCACCCGATTTTGCTGAATATTGAAAACCATTACCGGCCCAATTATTATAGGTCGAATATTGGTTGACAACCAACTTTGTCGAATAAACAATAGATCGGTTGGAGGTATTATCGGTAATATATTTATTAATTTCTTTAATATTTTTTTTATAATAGTAAGATGTGTTTAAAAGTTTTTTAGAAGTTATTTAAAATTTTATGAAAACTTATATTGTAAAAATCTTAACTTTAAAATTATGTCTTTTTTTTTATTAAACTTCTACAATAAGGCCCCGTTTGGTTGCCAAGATAAGCCATGATTAACTAAATAGTTGGATTTAATTTGATGTTTGGTATCCTCAATAACTTGCCGGGTCGACCCGCCAAAATTAAATAATCATGGCTTATCTTGCCTTATCTTGGCTTATCTTGCCTCTTAATGAGTTTTTTTTGTTGGACCTTTCAAGCTCCAATAAAATAATTGGGTCTCATTAGATTATTTAATCTTATCTTGGCTAATCTTATCTTGCCAACCAAACGGGGCCTAAGTAAATAGTAAATAGGACAAATGGAAATATGCTCATGACAAGGGACTTAAATGCACATAGATCCAGACAAAAAATAGTCTTGCAAATACACCAATCCCAAGTCTTTTTGTCTAAAATACCCATCATGATATAATTTTTATCAGTTCTACCCATTATACTCTAACTTCATCAATATTGCACATTGGCCTCGGATTGGAATAAATATATCACATTAATCCCGATTTTCATAATTTTTTGAATTTTCTTTTTCGAAAATATTTTTTTCTTCTGATTTTTTTTTCAGGCCAGATTCCGACATTGATTATTTATTTATTTATTTTTGAAACCTTATTTTTTTTGAAACTTTATTTTCTCTCTAAATTACTGTGTTAACAACAAAATTATTGTCTGAGACATAATCATGAATGCCAAAACAGTATTACTATCCCAAATAATATACTGTTCCGAACACTAATACTGTGACATACTGTCCCGAACAATAATTTACGAATATTACTTTCCTGAGCAACATTATTACTAATATTATTATCCCAAATAGTAATATTACTGCACGAGATAGTAATATTACGGTCGAAGACAACAAAATTGCCGGCCAAGACGATAAAATTAATTAATACATTAGTAATATTAATTTTTTTTCTCAGACAGTTATATTAATTAAAATATTTTTTTAATAAAAAAAAATGTCAACGCCGGAGACTGACTGTCAACGTCGATTGACCCGCCGAAAAAAAACCAGATTTTTTTTTTCAAAAAAAATAATAATAAATAAAATCAACGCCGGAGACTGACGGTCTCCGGCGATGGATGTCAAAATTGAGGTCAAAATTGGAATGAGTGTTAGAATTGGTTCATTGGTGAAAATTGGTAAAGCTAAATTGGGTGTAAATCTTGAAATTAGAGTTGAATTAGAGTTTCAATGAATTGAGAGTAATTTTGGTATATGTAAAAGGGTTTTCCTTATTTGCAAATAAGTTTGAATGATGTGGATTTATTTGCAAGACAAAAAAATTGGATGTCTATTTTTTATTTAATTGCTCTTGTCATTTACCCTACAAAATATAGGCTTAATCCCACTTTGCACCCTCAAAAGTCAAAACACAATAAATCTTTCACAATGCACCCTGAATTGAATAATAAAGACAATTTCATTTTTCATTGGTGTTTTTTTTCGGGGTGCAAAATAAAAAAAATAAATTGTTATTTTTTTGAACGTCCAACTAATTTCGAGCGGACAAAGTGCGAAAAAATAAAAATTACACCGGAATATTTAAAAAAATATATTTTCTTACAAAATAAAATAAAATAAACTTTTATCACTAATTTATTCGATTGATGAGTCTTTTATGGTAACCGGTGGAAAATATTAGGTAAAAATATTTGTAAGAAAATATGATTTTCAGATAACTTGACAACGAAATAACTGAATGATGGTTTTCGTAAAATAATTTGTTTTGATAACAAAATATAATTTTTAAATAAGTTGATGAGATGTATTTTTATTTTTGTAATTTATAGATTCAAAATGATTGATGAATAAAAAAAATATTTGACATTTGGCATCCTAAAAAAACACCATTAAATATGTCAAATTACATTTATAGCTTTAAAAATTTATTTATAGTGCATTATGCATGATTTGTTGTGTTTGGAAGGTGCAAAGTGCTATTAATTTATTTCGAGGGTACAAAGTGCCAAAATAGTATATTTCAAGAGTGCAAAGTAAGATTAAGCCCAAATATAAGGTCAAACTATTTTTGGAAAAAAAGGGTTTATCGCAATCCACATCCTTGTATTTTCTTTAATTATGAAAACAACTCTCCATATTATTTTACTGGAATAATTCCAACTATAGTAGAACTTCGATAAATCAATAATCTCGTTTAAATAATAATTTACATCGGTTCCAATTTAGTGAAAATGTATTAAACTATTGGTTTGATAATTTAATATTTTGCTATTTTAATAGAATTTTACTAGTTTAAAATCTATTAATTTATAGAGGTTTAAGTGTATTATTTAATTTCATGTGTGCTAAAAATTAATCATTATAAAAATATTTGTGCTTATATGTATAATATGATGAGGTTTTAGCAATGGGGATCACTATTTCAAATCCCAACTTTTGCTTACTTGAATACCAAAAAAATAAAAAAATTAAATAATTAATTGTAAATTATTTTAATAGCCTTAATGAAAATTAAAACCAAAAAAATATTACAAATACTATTTTTCTTTCTTAAATACCAAATAATCAAAAACCCTAAAAAAACCATTTCCCTCCTCACTCACAAACCCGTCACCTCCTCCACATTTTTCTTCTCCCTCCCCCAAAAACCCTCCTAAAAAACCTCAAAACTAAAGAAATCAAAACCTTACACAACTTGCAAAATGGCGTCAAATGACAATAGAATGGTAGTTTACGAGCAAGCAGAACCCATTAAGGTATGTATTCATGTATTTTTTGAGCTAAAACATCGATTTTGATTCTTTTTTTTTTTTTTTAAATTCGCCATTTTTTTTCGACACATACAGGTCGAAATGTGCTTATTTTTCGACATGTATGTGTCGAAAAACATAACAATTGATATTTTATTCATTTTCGACACTTAAGTGTCGAAAATAACCGTAACATTCGACAATTACCTATCGAATTTTGCTACAATTTTCGACACCTAAGCGTCGCAAATGACCCATATTTTCGACACTTAAGTGTCGAAGATGACCACTATTTTGACAAGCAATGTGCTTATCAAAATTTGTGTACAATTCCGGTATCTTGGGACCTCTGACCGGTTCGTTGCTCGAATCACCAACGTCTATAGTCGAGGGAAGAGCCGGCACCGGATTCGTTGAGGAAGAACCCTCTCCATACTTCTTCTTGGTCGTGGTCTTTTTCTTGGTCGTGATTGCCTTGCCCTTGCCCTTATCGGATAATTCCTTCCTCTCCTTACGGTTCGAGACAGTCGGAGGTATACGAGGTTCACGTGGTTCTTCCACTGCAAACTAACACAAAAATAAAAATAAATATACATAATATAAACACAAGCAAATAAAAATAGGAAAGAAAAAAAATAATAAATAACTACATAAATCAATAAATAAAATTTACACAGAATGAATTCGACAGCAAACGGTCGAAATGTGCAAGCATATTCGATAGAAAGCTGTCGAAATTTTGTAGAAAATTCGACAGATTGATGTCGAATTCTCTAGCACATTTCGACAGTTTGCTGTCGAATTTATTCTGTCGAATTACCAAAAAAATTCAAAATAATCGACAACTTCATGTCGAATTTCGTAGAATTTTCGACATCAGTCTGTCGAAAATCCTGAAAAAATCGACATGTACAGGTCGATTATTTTGAACGAAGAACCGATCCACGAATCTCAAATCAATGCTCAAATCGACTAAAATTAGATGCACCCATCACTAATTAACGATCATTTCTACCTAAAACAATCAAATCCTAATTACCCATATCAAACAATCAAATCCTAAATAAATATTAAAGAAAAAAAAATTCGAAAAAAAATATTACTTGTACAACAAAGGCGGCGGCGGCTTGATAACAATGGACGAAGAAGCGGCAGCGGCGTTCGGTGGCGGCGAGGGTTGGAGAGGAGAAGAAATGGTGGAGGGTTTTTTTTTTACAACAAAGGTTTTTTTTATTTGGTTTTAGAATCGGTAGTTTCAATAAAAAATTGATATAATTGATTTTTTGTATGACATGGTGTTTTTGTACTTTTCTTTTTATTTTGGTATTAAAGTAAGAAAAAACTTATAAATATGTACTCAATTTTGGTTTTAAACTTGGTAGTATTCAAGTAAGCAAAAATTGAGATTTGAAATAGTTGCCCCCTTTAGCAATATGATGTACAAGGATAAATGCTACTCCCTCCTATTCATAAGAACCGTCTCTTTTAAAAAATATTTTATTGTATATTATCTGTCACTTTAGATTTTCAATCATGCATTAATTACTTAATTTGCAGTTTATACTCTTATTAACTCTTTATAATACTCATTTTAATTCATTTCTCTCTCTCTCTCTCTCTTTATTAAGGTTAAGATAAAGTCATTTTAGTCTAAAATCATACATTTTTCATAAAATCAAGACACATTTAATGAAATATTTTATCTGTGTGCAAAGCTAAAATCGACTGTTAAAAGGGAACGAAAGGAGTATTAACTAAAAATAAAGGGTTAAATGCAGTTTACACCCCTAATGGATACCCTCTGTAACACTTGTCCCCCTAAACTACATTTGTAACACTTACACCCCTCAAGCTCAATTCAAATTGTATTTTAAATCCTAATACCTTAAAATTCTCTTTTTTTATTTAAAATAATAACTAAAAGAGTAATTAAAATATACAACTAAAAATATATGTTGAAAAATGCAATGTTTTAAAATTTTAAAATATTATCTTGTATTGTTCAGTACATATTTAATAAATAACATCTAATTGTTATTAGACCAATTAATCGAATATATTCATATCGATAAATTTTAAGAAATCAATACATAAATAATAATAATCTTAAGTTTTTAAATTTATTTTAGTTCATTATTTTTTTCAAATATATTTTTATTCATTAATTATTATACAACATATATTACCTTTTATTTATTTTTCCAATAATTTAATTTTAGTTACTTTTCAATTTTTATGATCCAATAACTATTAAATTGTTATGTTTATTATGTTTTAATTTTAAAATATAAAATACTTCATGTTGAGGTGGTAAGTATTACAAATGATACTTTAAGGGGGTAAGTGTTACATATGGTATATTTCAGGGGTCCAAAGCGTATTCTGCCCAAAAATAAAATTGTAAAAAAGTGTAACCCATGGACCTAAAATAAAATGGTCAATTTCGTGCGTTGCCGCATAAAAGGTGGAAAAACTGATGACAGTATTTGAATTGGTACATAGATTTAGGACTCATGAAAATATGTGCGATGACAAGTTGTGGGAATAAACAAAGACTTGTGCATTGATTGCTGTCTTAAAAAGAAAAGAAAAAAGAATATACTAAGGCGACCATTGTCCCTTTGATTTTATTTTCCATTAAAACAAACTCTTCCTTCCGGCCGACAAAAGAAGGAAAGAATAGGAAGAAATGGATGTTCTGGGTCTTGTGAGGATTCGTGTCCGCCGAGGAATCAATCTCGCCGTGCGCGACACTGTCAGCAGCGATCCTTATTGCGTCATCACCTGCGCTACTCAGGTCATTTTCTTATTCTCTTTTCTTCTTGTCTATTTGATTTGTTTTTGCATCTATATATAGTGAAATTATTATTTATGGTCAATTC